ATATTTTATATATTATATAATTTTTTATATAATATATAATTTTTTATATAATATATAATTTTTTATATAATATATAATTTTTTATATAATATATAATTTTTTATATAATATATAATTTTTTATATAATATATAATTTTTTATATAATATATAATTTTTTATATAATATATAATTTTTTATATAATATATAATTTTTTATATAATATATAATTTTTTATATAATATATAATTTTTTATATAATATATAATTTTTTATATAATATATAATTTTTTATATAATATATAATTTTTTATATAATATATAATTTTTTATATAATATATAATTTTTTATATAATATATAATTTTTTATATAATATATAATTTTTTATATAATATATAATTTTTTATATAATATATAATTTTTTATATAATATATAATTTTTTATATAATATATAATTTTTTATATAATATATAATTTTTTATATAATATATAATTTTTTATATAATATATAATTTTTTATATAATATATAATTTTTTATATAATATATAATTTTTTATATAATATATAATTTTTTATATAATATATAATTTTTTATATAATATATAATTTTTTATATAATATATAATTTTTTATATAATATATAATTTTTTATATATTATATAATTTTTTATATAATATATAATTTTTTATATAATATATAATATTTTATATAATATATAATTTTTTATATAATATATAATATTTTATATAATATATAATATTTTATATAATATATAATAATTTATATAATATATAAAAAATTATATAATGTATAAAAAATTATATATTATATAAAATATTATATATTATTTAAAATATTATATATTATATAATATATTATATATTATATAAAATAATATATAAATATATAACGTAAAAAAACCATGTTATTTTTGCTAAATAATAAGTTAACAGACGGCGCCTCAGAAGCATAGGGCTCGTGATTGCGGTACCCTGATCATTGGCAGACGCACTGGGAATTGTTCACGGCATTGGACTGCAGCGAAAAATGATTCCCCATCAGGGTTGACAAATAGTCGACAGGCTTCACGGCCAAACACACGCCATCTCACGGCCAAATTCGGCCAAACATTTTTTCGATATCGGCCAAAATTCGGCCAGATTTTAATCCGATTAGAAGACAACAGTGGGTACATTCATTTGAAATACTACAAAAATTATACGAAAATCAGCGGTCATTCGTTTGAAATTGAAGAAATTCAAATGATATACACAGAGCAATGTCAAAAATAAATAGCATATGTTATTTAGTTGCTGGCATGCAATTCCAGATATGTCCGAAAGGGGAGGGCCGGGGCCGAAAAAAGGGGAGGAAGGGGCAAAAGTGGGTCCGATCGAGACAACACCATCTTAGAGGAAATTTGTCTTTTCTAGACGCCCGAAAATAACCTGATGCATTTGGGCGATCAATTTTTCTTTTTTTCTCTTTTTTTTACCACCCCTCCCCCTTAAATCCACCTCTGCTATTTAAAATCACAATATTAAGATTGATCTAAATTTGATTTAAATGTATTAACTATTAATGTACATTGTAGTCGATCTATAGAAAATATTTTAAGGGCCTGTTATTGGCAAATCCGTGGCTCTCTTTAATTAGAATGAATTAAGTTACATACCGTAGTTAGGTAACACAAACTGGCGTTAAAACAAACCTATGAGAACTTTATAATAAATACCGGTACTTTTTATCTAAACTTTCGAAATTCGCCTCTGAATGTTATTGTCGCAGTACTTAAAGCAATAAATCAATGTTGCTATCAGAATTATCTTCTTCATTCTCATATGCAACCTAACTCCAGAGTAACTTCGAAGAAGTCTCTGCAAAACTTGCTTGAAATTGGAGGTGCCATATTGGACCCGAATGATCACATCGAGTATTTATATATGGCGCTCTACATAAAGAACACTGCGGCACCTAGGGCTATACAATGCAATTAAAGTACAGTATTTAATTTATATTCAAAAGAAATTCAAAAGAGATATAACCTCCACTAGTAAAATGGAACATATATACAATGACACACAATATGGCACAAACTTGCAATGAACTGTCTTCATAAAGCTTAAACGAGGATAAACCTTATAAACAATATATTTCATCCGAACAGTTTAAATTAAATGTAACTGTTATCTTTTAAATAAACTCTCTTACGTCAAATCGGCTGGGAACATAGATTAAATGTTTAGTGCAAGTACAAACAAAGGTACAAGATTATAATCAAATATAAAGTTTAAGCTAACAAAAACAAAATATCCAAACCAAGTCTACGTTATATTAGGCCTATATTGAAAAAAATGTAAACTTTTCAAAAACTCGGCCAAATATTAGTTTGACCGTGACTTTTCAAATGCTACGGCCAGGCAAATTTTTATACGGTCAGATTTGAGGAATCTGGCCGTCAAAAAGGCTGGACAGGGAATTCGAATAGTGACCAGGGAGGTATTTTCACAGTGGAGGGTGAATCTACCCGGGCCCCACCCTACCATGGTTGAGCTGAGGTAAGAAAATTTATAATTATCATAGCACATGTAGATGGCCGGAAATGGCACACTCTCAAACTTAATAAATTCCCCCTTTTTCCATTTCTTTTATAATTTTGAAAAAAAAATGGGGGTGGGGGTGGGGTTTGGCCGGGCCGGCCGCCTGGACCACCCTTGAATACACCACATTTGAAATAATACAGTTAATTAGGCCTACTCCTCTAAAAACCAAATATTATTGAGGGGGCCCTTTGGCCGTATATCATTCTTCCAAAAATATTAAGTTGGAAATTACTTTAAATTATTATTTTAAGGTCTAATTATGAACAGAAACTGCAGTAAATGAATTCTGTTGAACTATTGTGGTTTTATATAGGCCTATTATGAATGGGCCCCCTAATTCTGCCCTAATAGATCTGGGTCTCAGTGCACTGGCAGCCCGTAACTATCCACTCTTGGTTTCGATGAAACTTGGTGAGGCGTGACGATATTAATGCATACTTTCGATTGTTAACATAAATAGGCCTATGTATATACGTACTCAGTAGGCTTAATTGTTTTCGACGAACACGAGCATAGGCCTACAACCTTTGGCCTCACCACCGTGGAGTGCATAAGATTCTTTTCCAGATAAGATATCAAAAAACATTAACATGGTGAAAGCTTGGTTTATGAATGATACAGATGAGGACCAAAAGCTGGAACATCATCTAGACCCTGTCCAGATGGTAGACCTCGATTATCTGGATGAACATGGTGTCAAGTATTGGCAAGTAAGCAGCTTTCTATAGACACAAAATCAAACATGGACTGCCTAGTATAGGCTATGTTGATATGTATAAGCATGGAGGGTATAAGCTAGGTCAGGTGTGGGGCATCGATCCCTAGGTAGCTTACGATGGATCTAGTTTGGTCTGAACGCCCCGCCGTCGTTGGACCGAAGGTCTTTGTTCCGACGGTCTTCTTGACAATATTTTTAGTGAGTGGTTTTCCAGAAATGTAGGTTAGGCCTATATATTACAGACCTGCCAACCCTTGGGTATGAAAATCTGGAGATTTTTTTAAGAATCCTAAAAAAATCTGGAGATTTACCAAAAAATCTGGAGGTTTCCAGATTAACCAAAAGATGATGCAAGATACCAAAAAATCACGTCACTACAAATCATTGGCCGTTATTATGGCGACATTCGAATTGAAAATCGCTGTTTGTTTTATTGCACCGCGAAGCAAGCAGGCGGCGAATACGGTAGTGGCGGCGCTGCCGCAGTGCCAAAAAGCTGCCGTTTTCAATCGGCACTGCCGCAGTGCCAACAAGTTGCTGTTTTCTATCGGCACTGCCACAGTGCGAAAAGCTGTTGTTAATTAATCGAATCGATGTTTTTATCGATAGATGACTTTGGTATAATTCATAATTCATAATTTTATTTCACTCAAAACGTAATGAGACTGGTTAGGCAAAAAGGAACATGTTCCTGTACAAGCTGCCTTCCAGAGAAACATGGATAATGTTAATGGCAAAGACATAATAATAATAATAATAATAATAATAATAATAATAATAATAATAATAATAATAATACTAATACTAATACTAATAATAATAATAATACTAATAATAATAATAATAATGAAAATAATAAAAATAAATAAATAAATAAATAATAAAAAGTAAATGATAATAATAATAATGAATGAAGATCAAAATATATCATTGAAGTGAATTCAGTTATTTATTAAAACAAGATTTGGAGGGCTGGACTGTCATGAAGGTATTGTATTAATGATGTTCTAAATATTTGCCTTTATTATTATATCAATAATTGATTAGGTCTAGCTTAGCCTATATTATTGTTAACATTATATTATATTTGTTTAACAATTAGTTTAAATAATTATTTCTAATTAAATTATTAAATGTATACAATATATATTATATAAGCCTAGGCATATACATAAAACAAAAAATATACAAACAATAATAATAATTATAATAATAATATTAATAATAATAATAATAATAATAATAATAATATTAATAATAATAATAATAATAACAACAACAACAACAACAACAACAACAACAACAATTTTACGATAGTTTGATTAATGAAATATTAATAATCAGCATATTAAATAAAATTACGTTCATGCAAAACCTGCTTTTAAATAAAAACGTTATCTATTTGATTCTGTTTTAAAAAACAATCTTATAAATTATAAGTTTATTTTCTGCAATAATTTTATCCACATATGCATATTCATGTTTTCAATGTTAATCTGGTTGATAAATAATATATCAAAAAATAAATAATAATAATAATAATAGTAATAAAGGTGCTCGAATAATGCTTTAGTGAATACTTCAATAATGCTTCAATAGGCCTATTTACGATAGTGTGATTAATGAGATAATTGTTGATTAAGTTATAGAAATATAATAGGTATGCCTATCTATTAATAATGATTCAGCATATTAAATCAACAATACGTCGTAAATGTAAAATTTCTTTGGTTTAATAATAATAATAACAATAATAATAATAATAATAATAATAATAATTTTACAATAGTTTGATTATTGAAATAGTAATAATCAAAATATTAAATAAAATTACGTCCATGCAAAACCTGCTTTTAAATAAAAACATTATCTATTTGATTCTGTTTTAAAAAATAATCTCATAAATTATAAGTTTATTTTCTGCGATAATATTATCCACATACGCATATTCATGTTTTCAATATTAATATGGTTGATAAATAATATATATAAAAAAATAAATAATAATAATAATAAAGGTGCTCAAATAATGCTTTAGTGAATAATTAATAATACTTCAATAATGCTTCAAATAGGCCTATTTACGATAGTGTGATTAATGAGATAATTGTTGATTAATTTATAGAAATATAATAGGTAGGCCTATATACCATTAATAATGATACAGCATATTAAATCAACAATACGTCGTAAATTTAAAATTTGTTTGGTTTTTTTTTTTCAATAAAATTTTACCTATTTTATTCTGTTTCAAAAAAATATTAAAGTATAATCTGTCTCTTATACACATCTTACATACACACATAGGACTGTAGGGCTACTAGTATTTACAGGGTAATAAGAATGAGAAGTTTACCAGACCGTTTTCAAGCGGAGGAAAACCTTAAGACTTAAAGAACTTAAAAGTCATTAAAAGTCACCTCAAAAGTCGGAAAAGCTCATTTCCTATGAAAAGCAACTCAATTTTTAAATGTAGGCCTACGTATACACACATAAATAGGCCTGTCACGCCAAAATCGGTCCTGACAAAAAATGTCCGATTTTGGCCGCAAAAATCGGTCCGCCGGACTACTAAAATCGCTCCTCCGTGTTGAATTTAGCCGCTAAAACCGGTCCCGTTTGGATAAAACTGGTCCGAGTCGGAAGGACCACTTCACTTAACTCGTCTGCTGCTCTGTTTCTCCCGTGGAGTGGAGGAAAGTAATTTATGTTTCTCCCACACTTGCAAAGTCTTTTGCCGTTACAGAATGATTAGTGTTAAGCTTTTGAGGACGTGTTTTATCAAACCTAATGATTTCCTAGGCCTAGGCGATCGACACACACAGGCATGGTAGTGGCTATCGGCACTGCCGCAGTGCCGATTTGGCACTGCCGCAGTGCCAAAAAAAGCTGCTGTTTTCTATCGGCACTGCCGCAGTGCCAAAAAGCTGCCGTTTTCTATCGGCACTGCCGCAGTGCCAAAAAGCTGCCGTTTTCTATCGGCACTGCCGCAGTGCCA